CCCTATGGCAAGCGTTGTGGCTGTGAGGTCTAGGAAGATCCAGCCCAATCCTGCAATTTGAAGATCTCTGTCAATGTTGTACCCAAGTTAGTTGCAGATTATTAGATCTAAAAACTTTTATTGGATTTGGAAACAAAAAAAAGAGAAGAGGAGAAATAACGTGAGTTTGAGGAATGTGATATTGGTGATGTGGATTAATGACATGGATAATCAAAATTTTATTTATTATTTTTATTTAAAAACGAATTAAAAATTATTAATTAAAAAAAAACTAATGAAGGGTGTTAATTGTAATTACACAAATACTCAAAACATATGAGTAATTTTTAAAAGATATATGATATTCTAATAATAAACATACTTTTCTATAACATCTGAGTAAATTTTTCTAGTAAAAATCTGTAAAGATAGTTGTTAATTCGTTGAATATTTGTCCTTATAGTTGAACCACATGTAATGCGTTGAAAACATGTATTGTCATAATTCATAAACCATGTAAACTGAAAAATGTCCACTACATATGATAATAGACATACGACAAGAAGTTTCACGTTGCAGGTGAGAAAACCTAATAAACTATCTCTTATTAGTTATTACTCTAATTAAATCAAATTTGTCTCTAAGAGCTCGAATCTCGATGCAATTGTAGTTGGTACTGAATTATTTCCGTGACCACCATTATATGTTTTGATTATCTTGTTTATTTCTGATTTTTCAGTTTATAAGTTTGAGGTGTATTAGAAATTCTTGGTTATATATGCATGTGATCAGATCCACAAAAGATAATCGGTGCAAGCAAAAGATTATTGCTACCAATAATATTTCTTGGATAATTTTTTCAGTTTATAGAGTAATGATTTTAATTACCACTTGACTACAAAATCTTTGTTTTTTTAATTAGGAAACTAAAGTTTAGTAAAATAATTATTTTTTATAACTTCAAAATTCTGACCACTGATTTAATATGCAAACAAACTGTTAGACCGATTGGTTTAATTAATAAATGTTTTAAACTAATATTTCGAGGATTGAACTACTAGGGAAAACATGCATGTTTTTTAACGAGATACTCCTTTACGTGGCCAATTAGCTATTAGGTGGAAATTCTATGAGCACTCAAGATACATATGACATATTATAGTCTCTCATTTTTTTTTTTTGAACTTATACTCTAAAGATGAATAAAATTAACCCAAAATTATAACAAAAAAAAGAAAGACTAAAAAAAGCACAAGCACGATGTTTTATTTTTTCTCATCTAAGTTTCTTTTTAGTAAAATCATCCGTTTTTAGCTTAAATGGATTATTATTTTTTTGCTGTAAAAAAAAAGAAAAAGAAAAATAGTCTTATTTCATGTGTATTACTATTAACTAGGAACACAGTTGGTCGTAAATGCTAAGATTCATAGAGATCTGAATCTTTGGTCCAATCCCCTAAGAGTTCAAGAGTTAGAAAAATTATTCTATGTAATGATATAAAAGTTCAAGAGTTAGAAAACAAATAAACTAAAACAACACTCCACAAGATTGTTGAGTTAACCTTGAGAAAAGCTTAAGAGTTTATTAACTTGGGTTAGTTAACTTGAGTTATAAGTTAACAAATAAAAGGATATAGTGTGAGAGATTTGGAAGTTATCCAAAAAGTATTTCGGAGATATCTAAATACTAAACCTTGTTAGATTTAGATTAGGTCTTTAGGTTTCCTTTATAAGAGATGCTAAAGGTGTGGTAGTCCTTATGAGTTTTGAGAGAGAATTTGAAAAAGAGAAAAAGCTTTGTTTAGTTTTGAGTTAGTTTCTAAACATCGATAAAGAGAGTTATTCTTGTTGAATCTTTGTGTTCTTTCTTTGTTGAAGTTCTATATTTGGTATCAGAGCCACAACGTGATAAGAACTCACCATGGCTGAGATAAAAGAAGACGAGAAACAAACTGAAGAAGACGTGAAACCGACCTCAAAGGAAATCAGATCCTCAGCCATAAAGTGTCCGATGCTCACCTCTTCTAATTACACTATTTGGGCTATGCGGATGCGAATTGCTCTCAAGGTAAACAAGGTGTGGGACACCATAGATCCGGGAAACAAAAACGAAGAGAAGAACGACTTGGCAATTGGGTTGTTATTCCAATCCATACCAGAGGCCTTGATCTTACAAGTTGGAGACCTCGTCACTGTAAAAGAAACTTGGGATGCAATAAAAGGAAGACATGTTGGAGCCGAAAGAGTTAGAGAAGCTAGGTTACAAACTTTAATGGCGGAATTTGATAGAATCAAGATGAAAGAGACATATTCGATTGATTCTTTTGTAGGAAAACTGTCAGAACTTTCCTCCACTTCAACATCTCTTGGAGAAACCATTGAAGAACCGAAGCTTATAAAGAAATTTCTTAAAAGTTTGCCTCGGAAAAGATTTATTCATCGCAGCCCTTGAACAAGTACTGATCTAAACAACACTACCTTTGAAGATATTGTTGGAACAATCCCTTATTCGACTTCAGAATTATCAACAGTTGACCGCTCGATACTATAACTCAAAGTTGAAAAACAGACCTTTAAATGTAGGAGACTTTGTTTTAAGGCGAGTGTTCGATAACACAAAAGAAGAAGGAGCTGGAAAACTCGGTATTAACTGGGAAGGCCCTAATCAAATCACTGAAAAAATCCGAAACGGTGTATACCATTTACAAGACCTTGGTGGAAATCCCGTTCAAAGGCCTTGGAACATAATCAACTTGAAAAAGTTCTATTGCTAAAGCAAACACATTCGAACTACGATTTGGCTTGATCCTATTCTGGGTACGTAGGCAGCTCGCTAAACACGAGTCCAGCTATAATATAAAAATAAAAATATTATTCCAGTCATGGAATCTTGTTTTTATGAATTTGATATTCGAGCATAAATATAAAAATACGTTGCGAACAATGTATAAATAAATATTTCTTGCTAAGCTAAGACCGGATCTAGAAGGGTCTTGAATTACGGAATAGCTCTACTCCTTGACCTGCGAGGTCAATGATGCTAATAATACAACCTGGCATGTTTCCGTACTCCTGAAGTCCTAGTTCGATCCAATCGGAAGGATGGGTTTCGAGGCGATGAAGCTCGCGAGAAATATCGAGGCGACGCTTCTCTAGCTCCATTATCCGTTTCCTAATCTTTTTCTTCTCATCCTCGAGCTCGTCATGCCGAGTGATAAGCTAAAGAAAATAAAACGCTACGTTGAGAAATAACAAAAAGAAGTTAAATCACTAGGATGGAAAATACCTTGGTGATAAACTCCTCGGCCTTAACATGATCTTGGGCTGACAATCTCTTGATTAATACGATCAGAACCTGAATGCTGGTTCCCTTCCTCAATATTCGTGACCCTTCCGGTTCGCCAGTTCTTCCCGTTTTTGTAAGCTCGATGTCTGGTGCTCCCGGAAGATCGTCACTTATCAATCTGGATGAGTCAGAAGTTTTCTCTGAAGAATTTCCCTCTTCAGACATTCTTGTAGAATTGTTGTTGAAATTCAATGACAGACTACACCCACTATATACTCGAAAATTTATTCGATTGCATTTAAGAAGATTAATTGACGATTTCCCAAATATGAAATTACGACTTTCATTGAAAATGTAATCGAGTTAATTGCTAATTATATTCTCTAGATTAAACGCATTAAATGAGATTTGAATAAATCGGCAAATTTAAAGCAAAAGGAGGAATATAATTAATGTTGAAGGGTTTCAAGTCCAGTGACATTTTACAAACATAAAACGGAAAGTGTTCGATTAAAAGTCTTCGCCCGATAATGACTCCAGAGAGGTGGAAGATCCCGAACAGCTTTCTGAGGATAGTCCCTCGTCAGAAGATAAATCAAAAGGGTCGGGGAAGTCATCAACAATTTTCATCTCCGGTTCCTCTTTTGCTTCAGTTCTTAACATCGGAAGTCTCCGAAACTCTGAGGAACATGAAACAAAAGAGGAGCCATCGCTGGTCGCCAAGGATAAACGATGAAATTTATCCAGCATGCGGAGGAATCTTCGGAGGCAAGTAGGCATTATGGCCACAATGTCTAGACAATTCCTCTCCCATTCGTGCGGTTCAGATTCCAGGCAAAGGATCTCTCTTTCCATCCTCTTTATGCGCTCATCAAGAGCACGGCGCCTCTTTCCGATTCTTTGTCTCTTATCACATAAATCTTTGTGTCTCCCGACAATCTGTTTGAACAAACATTTTGTCAAATAACCGAAAGAAAGGAAGTTATAGTTTTCTGAGAAGACTAAGAGTTAGAAAAGGAACCTTTTCCAGGAAGTCATAACATTTAACCCTTTTCTTCCCTGTTCGGAAATGAAAAAACGTTGGGTGAATAACTCCCTTTGGAGAGAATCCGTCTTCGGACTCAAACAGTGGGTTCCCACTTGAAGTTGTTATTCTTGAGCATGATCTGAAAGAAGACAGAGGCATTTTTCAAGTTTTTTCTTATAATGAACTATGGTGATCTTTTGGAATTCCTTTTGAAGGAGAAAGAGGTTCAGATTTCTAAAAATAATTATATATTGCTGGCCTGTTAGAGGAGGCTTCAGATCCAATTAAAACGCGGCCCAGCGATTCCGAAGCCATCATGGGCAACGATCAAAACCATTGCCTGGTCATATTTATGACAAAATTCTCATGAATTATAAATCTTATCCCTCGATATAAAAAAAAAAAAACTTAAGCCGAGCTCCATCCTCGCCTTCGAGAGACCGAGGAAAAATACTTATTAAGATTTTTTCTTTAAAACAGGCAAGTGAGCCTGATCAGCTCATCTCTCACAATTCATAAAACCTCTTTGGCGGGCTAGGACTTACAAACCTAGAATCATGTCCAAACGTTTTTGTTTAAAATAATCATCATATGCCAGAGCATGTACATGGTTGTGTTCAGTCACACTAATTGAACAAAATATTTCCGTCAAACGGAATAATCCTCATGGACTCAACAAAACAATTCTTTAAAAAAAAAAAGAGCGTTCCTACACCTCTGGAGAACCCTCATGTGGCCGAGAACCTTCACCTACCTCGAATTGAGATGGGGAATCTCCAAATACCAAAGAAAATTGTTTCAGAACGAGAGTAGGACGGGAAGCCGAGGATAACTCGGATTCAACCATAGCGAGTTCGGCAGCAACTTCGCTCCTCTCGTTCTTGAAAGAAACTCTTCCAGCCTCTAGTTCCTTAATCAGGTCTAGATTTCTCTTCAGTTCGGCTCGATCTGTTAGAAGTTTAGTCCAGACCACTTCGTCCTTGATGAACTTCGTAACAGATTGAATAAGTTGCCTACCGAATCCCCTCATCTCTTCTCGAGCATTTTGTTCGGCTTCAACGATATTGCGAGCCCTGTTCCTAGTTAAAAGCTCGATCTCTTGATTTGCTTCTTCGAACAAAGCCGTATTCTCCTCTAGCTCAGCCTCCAAGCGAAGAGCATTAGACCTCGCAGAATCTCTTTCAGCATTCGCAATTCTGATGCGTTGCTCGTTAGCTGCTAGAGTTTTCTTCATATTTTCAAAAGATGACTCGAGTGTTTTTTCCCGCTCAAGTCGCTCAGATTGGTTGGCTAATCTAAGTTCATCAACCTCCTTCTTAGCCTTTGCAGTCTCTCTCTTCGCTTGATGAAGAAGGTTCTCATAATGGAAGATCATTCCATTAGTCTCCATAAACGCCTTCAGAGTAAAAAACAAAAAAAAACGTGTCGTTTAGACAAAAAGCTTTTACCTAAGGAAGGGAGGTTGTTATAATCTAAAAGATCCAAACATGGGATAGGTAGCAAGCTCGATTGGCGAACATCTGACGGATTTCCGGCCTCCAAACCGAAAAAGGAGGAAGGGACGCCCCTTCCCTGGTTTGGAAACTTCGGAAGATGTCTCCAATCTCTTCTCCGCCTGCGAAGCAGAGGAGAATAGCAGATTAATAAAATAGATGCAATCTGTAGCAAGTTTTGCTAATGCTCGCTTTCTAAGTAAAAACTTACCTGAAATCGAAGTGGGTAAAGGATTTTGAGTCCTAACACTCAGTCCTTGAGATAGGGGAGCCTCCGGTCTCGGCTCATCTATTTCCTCTGAAATTACTCTGTCTCCCGGAAGAGGGAGCTCGGAGTTTAAAGGTTCTGAAGAGGGAGAAACAGAACGTAGAGGGCTAGAGGAGGTTATTTCTCCCTCACGCCCTGGTTCGGAAGGGCAAATTACGGTGGCAACTGGAGGATCGTTAAGGATCTCGGCTCCATGAGTATCCACCGCGGCTGACAGGGCTGCTTCTAATGAACCATCATCAACCAAGAGGGTCTTTTTGTGGAAGTTACCAACCCTGGAGATTGCAGCTATCCATTTCTTTCTCCTGATTTCGGATAGCTGATCCTTAAGAGCCTTGATTTCAGGCTCGAGACGTCTTTCTCCTCGGGAGGAGGATCGAGGGGGTGAGTCTGAGCGTCTTTAATGGCGAGCCCCGCTTTATGAATGCGTTGAAGGTGAAGGAATTCCAATTTGTTTCACCCTCGGAAACGATTCGAAAGAAGGACAAGAAGTCAACGGTTGGGCGGGGGATCGTCTGGTTCTCTGAAACAAAGTATTGGGTTAATAATTCTATCTCTTTTACATAATACAGTGGAAAGTAATAAAGGTTGGATTTTTAACCAAGTTTAGCCGACCAATTGGCGAGAAAAAGACCGGAAAGACCTTGAACGGAATGGGGATTGACTCGGAAAAAGAACTAGTATTTCCTCCAAGGCCCATCATTCGAGGGCATTCCGTCGATCAGATTACAGTCAAGGATAGGGTTTATAGAAAAAATACCCGCTGCTGCGGATTCACGGGCTCGAAATAGCCCTAAGAGTTCGCTGGTGGAGAGGGAAAACCCTACTTCTGCCGAAACAGTGAGGGTGCTCAGAACGTATCGAAGAAAGTTGGGAGCCATTTAGGGAAAGGTAATCCCTAGGTGGAGGAGGTATAAAAGAAGAACTTCCGGTATGGGAAAAAACAAACCACAACCTTTGAAATAGACTTCGTATGCACAACAGTAACCCTCTCGCATCACTTCCGGAGACTCGTTGGGTCTAGGAAGAGAGAATTCAATTTCCTGAGGGATGTTACAAAGGCGGCGAAGAGCGCCAAGGGAACCAGAGATCGACTGAGACCTGAAATGCGGACCAAATTTGTCTCCCCTTTGGGTGAAGACTTCGTCCCCTCAGGGAACAGGGATTCCTTGACTGTCATCTTCGTTTTCCGAAACATAGACGGCTGGGGAAGACATCTCTTACTAAGAGGTTTCTCTTTTTCTGGTTTGGTAAAAGCTTTTAGAGGTAAATGTACGCTGCTATAAAAGCCGTCGTTCCATTTAACCTTATTTAGCAGAAAACCGCCTTGAGAATATTGGGAAGTGGGACAGTTTTCCCCGTGGTATTAATATAAAATTAAGAAATTAATGATGATGGTTGTCTGGGAAATCAAATCATCTGATTATCCGAGATCAGCGTAACAGCGTAAAACATGGAGAAATTCCATAATGTTAAAGATCTCGAGTCATTAATTACTGTTTACTTAAGTCTTCCAAGCCGAGCATTCAGCTCGCAAGACTTGGGAGGCTAAATATTGGGGTCGGATCCAACACATCTTCGGTAGAATCCACTTGGATCTGTCCACGTCATTATTACATAATAATCCTCTTGGATTTCTAGATACTTTATTGGACTTAACCAGTTGGGAGTTCGATTCGGTGTACCAAAAGAGCTCGATCTTTACCAGTACGGAGTTCGCTCTTATTCAACAAACAGTTCGCATAAAAGAAGGCCGAAGCGAGGAGAATATTGTTTGAGGTTCGCGGCAGCGTCAAGACGCAGGAGTTTGGAGTCAACAAGAAAGAGTTCGGAAGATCCACGCGAAGCCCAAGATAGTTCAAATTCAAGCCGTTTCGGTCAAATTTTAACCTACATGATTAATGCAGATCAATGCGATTATGAGCAGTAAATGACCGCATTGATCATGTTTTCTCTATAAAAACAACCTCAAACGCATGTATTTGAGGAAGAACGAACCTTTTATCTCTTACTATCAAGCAATACAACATACTCTTTCTTTTACAATTTCGCAAGGCTTTTTACTATTTTATTCTTGCTAAACTCTTTCGCTTTATTTAGTTTCTTGGTTACTTTCCTTTTCAAATCCTTATTTTCATTTCTTGATTTTAGAGTTTTTCTCCACAAAAATACTTAAAGACAATCGAGTGTGAATCCTACATCCACACATGGGCTCTATTCCTATCCGATGGTTGGTCCGCTATGTCCGAGAGGCTTCAAAGATTTGTTTACTAACCATACAAACAACCACATGATCTTTTCCTAGGTTTTGTTCTCACTCACATAGTTCCGAAAATCACTTTCCGGAAAGTCACCTATCCAGAAATTGTTCTAGCTCAAGAACGCTTAACTGTGGAGTTTTCTCAAGACAGTTGAACGAAAAGATAAGTGCACTTTGATGATATAGGTGCCCGTGGCCAAATCAATTCTTTTAAACCTTTCCGCATGCACCACCATATTCCTACAACCGGGATGTTACATGTATCATATGTGATATGATGAGCAGCTCTCACGAATAATGATTCTTTGATATATGCATCTCTCTCCGCAACACTTGATTCCACAGCAGACGATCATGTATGAATGGCATCCCATGATGGACATGCTCTTCTTACAACACACAAGACCACAACGAATTATTCACGGTACTGGACTTCCGATAGCCTTTGTATCATTAATCTATTTACAAAAAAATGTATATCTTGACAATCGAACTCCATCCATAATGTACAAGCCTTGAAATCTTTAATAATTGAGCCTCCTTGTTATTATATATATATGCAAATTTTATGATTTTCAATTACTGACAAATATATAATTTTAAACTTTTCATTAGGACAAAAGTGTCATTTTAAAACCAAAAAATAGTTATCAAAAATAAATTAAACATTAGGTATCTTTTTCAAAAATATTAATCTAAAGGAGGTAAATTTCCTAATTTCAATAGTAAAAAGGGAGATTTACTCAGATGTTATACATTTTATATGAAATTACCAGAAACATACAAATATTTTTTTTATTACTATCATATTTCGGGTATATTTTTATACCCAGCGTGCCCCTGTTAAACGTTACAGGAAAAAACATAATTACAAAGAATACCACTACCACGTCAGCAAAGCCGCGTCGCCACGTCAGAAATCGCTGACGTGTATTAATGAACTCAGCCGTCAAGCGATATATTGGCAGTGACGGCTGAGTTACGGTATGTTGCGGCTGATTTAAGAAAAATGGTTGAGTTATGAGCAAACGGCTGACTTACGAGTATAACCCAGCCTGGAGTTACGGCTGACTTACTGAAATCTGTCTGAGTCATGATAAAATGACTGACTTTCGAGCATAACCCAACCTAAGTTACGGCTGAGTTTTCACCCGATGGTTGATTTGTTAAATTTTTGGCTGAGTTATTGCTTCGACACGGCTGACATAACTTTCTCCGGCTGGCTGAGTTATCAAAGACGGCTTAGTTATGGGATGATGTTACGGCTGATTTATGTTCGAGTGTCATAAATCAGCCGTAATGAGCTGGATTAACGGAAAACTCGGCCTTATTACGGCTGACTTAGTAGCGAAAGATTAATTACTAGAATAGCATGCAATGACGGCCGACTTATTAAACGACACGGCTGAGTTATATATTTTTGGTTGAGTTACGACAGTAAACGGCTGAATTTGGCTGCCGTTTTTTCGTTTTTTAATTACTGTAATAGTATTCATGTTGCGACCGAGTTAAAGTTTTGTTTGATGGCTGGTTTAATTAAGCTGATTTACATTTTCGTTTGGTGGCTTACTTGCCACTTCATCAATTAAAAATGACGTGGATGCAACATTCCATGTCATCATTCCATGTCATCATCATCAAAGGACAAAAAAATAGGGCCAAATTTTTTCAACTCGTCTTCTTCACCTGAGTTTTTCACATCACCGGAACTTCCAATTCCTCATCGTCTTCCTCATTCTTCTTCAATTTCTTTCATCCTTCTCCCGATATGGTTGATCCGGTTCCGGTAATTGGGTATAGAAACACAAATACGTATTTAACACCGATGAAAGAGGGTGTAGAGTTGTGCAGATAGATGCGGAAACAACGCACGAAAAACTTGTGAAGGTGGTGCTCGATGATAAAGTTAGACGAAATGTTGCGTCTCTTATTGTTTCGCGGCAAATTTACATGTCACGGCTGAGTTATATGCTTAAGGGAAGACGAAAATTTCGGTCAATTTACATGTCACGGCTGAGTTATATGTTCCAGGGAAGACGAAAGGTTCGGTAAATTACTAAATTTACATGTCACGGCTGAGTTATATTCTCCAGGGAAGACGAAAGATGGGTGTAAATTATATGTTACGGCTGAGTTATATGCTTCAGGGAAGACGAAAGGTTCGGTAAATTACATGTCACGGTTGAGTTATCATTCAGGGAAGACGAAAGGTTGTGTAAATTATATGTTACGGCTGAGTTACATCACTTTACGGCTGATTTATAATACAGATCGGAAAGCAACATTTTTTTGGAGAAGACAATATGAAATTTATTGGTCAAATAACAACAATCAAATTAAGATTCGTAAAAATATGTTTGAGGGATACATAGGAGGAAGACTAAACCGTATGAATCAAAACATAGATAGAAGAAGAAATGTCTCCAAATAGATCGATTGAGAGGAAGATTAAACGAGAGACATGTAAAATCAAAGTAAAAGAGTAGCTATTCTTGATTTCAACTCAAACCTGTAACGAATCATGTAAAATTTCATAGATCTCTTTGATTTGGGTTTTGATTTTTGATGACTTTTTTCGTGAGCGAGGTTGCGAGTAGATCTGACGAAGCTTTTGATTTGGGACCCTATGGCAAGCGTTGTGGCTGTGAGGTCTAGGAAGATCCAGCCCAATCCTGCAATTTGAAGATCTCTGTCAATGTTGTACCCAAGTTAGTTGCAGATTATTAGATCTAAAAACTTTTATTGGATTTGGAAACAAAAAAAAGAGAAGAGGAGAAATAACGTGAGTTTGAGGAGTGTGAGATTGGTGATGTGGATTAATGACATGGATAATCAAAATTTTATTTATTATTTTTATTTAAAAACGAATTAAAAATTATTAATTTAAAAAAAACTAATGAAGGGTGTTAATTATGTAAACTAATGAAATGTTCGTACCTTACCGCAACTTTCTACTTATGTAAACAATATTCCTACATATTGGCTAATTTGAGCCAATACAATAAAGCTGTTGACAAAAAAAAAAAAAAAAAAAAAAAAAGGAGGGTGTTAATTGTAATTACACAAATGCTCAAAATATATGAGTAATTTTTAAAAGATATATGATATTCTAATAATAAACATATTTTTCTATAACATCTCAGTAAATTTTTCTAGTAAAAATCTGTAAAGATAGTTGTCAATTCGTTGAATATTTGTCCTTATAGTTGAACCACATGTAATGCGTTGAAAACATGTATTGTCATAATTCATAAACCATGTAAACTGAAAAATGTCCACTACATATGATAATAGACATACGACAAGAAGTTTCACGTTGCAGGTGAGAAAACATAATAAACTATCTCTTATTAGTTATTACTTTAATTAAATCAAATTTGTCTCTAAGAGCTCGAATCTCGATGCAATTGTAGTTGGTACTGAATTATTTCCGTGACCACCATTATATGTTTTGATTATCTTGTTTATTTCTGATTTTTCAGTTTATAAGTTTGAGGTGTATTAGAAATTCTTGGTTATATATGCATGTGATCAGATCCACAAAAGATAATCGGTGCAAGCAAAAGATTATTGCTACCAATAATATTTCTTGGATAATTTTTTCAGTTTATAGAGTAATGATTTTAATTACCACTTGACTACAAAATCTTTGTTTTTTTAATTAGGAAACAAAAGTTTAGTAAAATAATTATTTTTTATAACTTCAAAATTCTGACCACTGATTTAATATGCAAACAAACTGTTAGACCGATTGGTTTAATTAATAAATGTTTTAAACTAATATTTCGAGGATTGAACTACTAGGGAAAACATGCATGTTTTTTAACGAGATACTCCTTTACGTGGCCAATTAGCTATTAGGTGGAAATTCTATGAGCACTCAAGATACATATGACATATTATAGTCTCTCATTTTTTTTTTTTGAACTTATACTCTAAAGATGAATAAAATTAACCCAAAATTATAACAAAAAAAAGAAAGACTAAAAAAAGCACAAGCACGATGTTTTATTTTTTCTCATCTAAGTTTCTTTTTAGTAAAATCATCCGTTTTTAGCTTAAATGGATTATTATTTTTTTGCTGTAAAAAAAAAGAAAAAGAAAAATAGTCTTATTTCATGTGTATTACTATTAACTAGGAACACAGTTGGTCGTAAATGCTAAGATTCATAGAGATCTGAATCTTTGGTCCAATCCCCTAAGAGTTCAAGAGTTAGAAAAATTATTCTATGTAATGATATAAAAGTTCAAGAGTTAGAAAACAAATAAACTAAAACAACACTCCACAAGATTGTTGAGTTAACCTTGAGAAAAGCTTAAGAGTTTATTAACTTGGGTTAGTTAACTTGAGTTATAAGTTAACAAATAAAAGGATATAGTGTGAGAGATTTGGAAGTTATCCAAAAAGTATTTCGGAGATATCTAAATACTAAACCTTGTTAGATTTAGATTAGGTCTTTAGGTTTTCTATATAAGAGATGCTAAAGGTGTGGTAGTCCTTATGAGTTTTGAGAGAGAATTTGAAAAAGAGAAAAAGCTTTGTTTAGTTTTGAGTTAGTTTCTAAACATCGATAAAGAGAGTTATTCTTGTTGAATCTTTGTGTTCTTTCTTTGTTGAAGTTCTATATTTGGTATCAGAGCCACAACGTGATAAGAACTCACCATGGCTGAGATAAAAGAAGACGAGAAACAAACTGAAGAAGACGTGAAACCGACCTCAAAGGAAATCAGATCCTCAGCCATAAAGTGTCCGATGCTCACCTCTTCTAATTACACTATTTGGGCTATGCGGATGCGAATTGCTCTCAAGGTAAACAAGGTGTGGGACACCATAGATCCGGGAAACAAAAACGAAGAGAAGAACGACTTGGCAATTGGGTTGTTATTCCAATCCATACCAGAGGCCTTGATCTTACAAGTTGGAGACCTCGTCACTGTAAAAGAAACTTGGGATGCAATAAAAGGAAGACATGTTGGAGCCGAAAGAGTTAGAGAAGCTAGGTTACAAACTTTAATGGCGGAATTTGATAGAATCAAGATGAAAGAGACATATTCGATTGATTCTTTTGTAGGAAAACTGTCAGAACTTTCCTCCACTTCCACATCTCTTGGAGAAACCATTGAAGAACCGAAGCTTATAAAGAAATTTCTTAAAAGTTTGCCTCGGAAAAGATTTATTCATCGCTGCCCTTGAACAAGTTCTTGATCTAAACAACACTACCTTTGAAGATATTGTTGGAAGATTAAAGGTGTATAAAAAGAATTTTTGATGAAGAAGAAGAGCAACAAGAAGATCAGAGTAAGTTGATGTATGCCAACACGGACTCGCATACATCCTATCATGAAGGTTATGGCAGAAACAGAGGTGGTCGATCTAACTGGCGTGGCAGAGGCCGCAGACTTTTTAATGGTTACCAGAATGGATCATACATGCAAAAGGAGAGAGATACGTCCATGATAACATGCTATCGTTGCGATAAAATGGGTCATTATGCGTCTGATTGCCTTGATATATTACTTAAACTGCAAGAATCTATTGAAAAGAAAGATGATGCTACACAATAAGCTGATGAATTGATGATGCATGAGGTGGTATATCTTAACGAGAATAAGGTGAAACCAAGTTGCTTTGAAGCCGATCTAGACACAAAAAATGTATGGTACCTTGATAATGGTGCAAGTAACCATATGAGTGGGAATAAGTCTTTGAGACTCGGGAAGTAGCATTTGAGAGGAAGATGAATCTACTCGATGAGAAGCTCGCAGACTTGTTGATTCGCATTGCTGGATGCGAAGAGAAACAAGAAGAAAGTCCCAAAGCCTGAGCCCGTTATGAAGCTAAGGTGAAAAAGGAAGTTGAGATCCTAGGCAGAAAAGGAAACCTCTTCCGTTTCCTCCCCCGAAAAGGAAACCCCGATGTCTTTAAAACAAGTAAGACTCCTAACCTTACTTCACCACCTCTCGCCCAAAAAGAAGAAACTTCAGAGGAAGAATTTGAAAGAGAATTCACGGAGAGTTTCAACGAAGAAGAGCCGCAAAACCCTATGGAGGAGCCAAACCCTATTAGGGAGTGCAACGCCGTGATTCCTCTTGATGCGAGACCCTTACGAGTGTTTGAACAAGGAGAGATTCACGATTAAGAGTTGGATTACTTTGATGAGGTTGTAGATGATGAAGGATACAACTCATATGACTCGGAAGGAGAACCGTCGGTCAATTCAACAATCACGGAGGAAGAATGTGAAGTAGAAGCTGCGGAGATAGAAGAGATGACCCATACCACGCACGAGAATGGCATGAGATGCACTTTCCATGACTTGGTTAGAGCGATACCACTCACGGATTCGTTCGAGGCAGCTTGGGAGAAGTTTCCCGTCAAACGATTCTACATGGAGAGTTACATCTCTAAAGATCGTGTTCAAGAAACGTTTGAGAAGGCAAGGCGTTCCATCTTCCAGAAAAGGAGCGATTACATGGAGGAACCCCCCGACGAGTTCCAATCCAAGAGAGTTTGTCTAGGGACAAACAATCCTTCTCACTACGCTTAGTGAACTACCAAACGTCGAGCCAACGACGCTAAACAAGTGCGCTGAGTTGGAGCCAACCCACTTGGTAAATACTTTTCCTTAGGATATAATTGCTTTTACTATTGATAGTTTTAGTTTTTGTTTCAGGAATTTCATAAAAACAGAAAAGAAAATAGAAAAGAAGAAAACAGAAAAGCCAAAAAGAAGAAGGAGGAAAAAGGTCCCTGGACCGGCCACACCACCCCGTGACCGGTGCCAGCAGGAGGCTCCGGACCGGCCCCACCTACCCGTGACCGGTCCCCACTGAAGCCTTTGGACCGGCCACACCTACTCGTGACCGGTCCAACCCACGCTCTGTTCGATGATTATTTCGCGACCTTCCAAAGCACGGTGGCAAGTTGAATCACAAGACCGGCATCCTTAAAGATGTTCGAAGCATGCCGAAGGCGATGGATTGATCAAGCTGCCAACGATCAATGCCAAGAGTCTCCACCCTGACAATCCGAGATTCGTGAGAACATCCAACCCGCCGTCCGTACCGCCATCCTACCGTGACCGTACGGCAGAGCAACACCCACGTCCGTTCTCCAATTCTGTCCAATGAAATGATCTAGGATTGAATATCCGCAGATAACATGGATATTTCATGAGTAATCATTAAGACAGAATCCTGAGACAACGAGCGTTTCGCGAGACGACACCAATCCTCCGTACCGCGAAGCACCTCCACGTCCGTTTTGAAGTTTCGCTTGACCCAATGAGCTGAGATTTGGAATTCACCGTCAATATTGGGATTTGATGAGGAATGATCGAGACAGAATCTTCAAAAGAGGCGCTCTTTGCGATACGACACATTCAAGCCCAACTGAGCCGTACCGCACGATGAAAGTCGACAACGTCAGAATCTGCTGGGATTCAAAACTTCCTGATTTTATGACCATTCCAGGACATATGATCGAGAAAAAACAGCTTGGGTTCGGACTAGATTGTGAGATATGACGAGAAGCCGTCAAAAGAAGCCTTCACCGTACCACCAGGCTAAACTCCGAGAAAAGGCTTGAGATTTAAAATTCATCCGGAAACCTGACATTCTGGAGAAAATGGATGAGAAAAACAGGCCTTGGAACGGGTTAGTTTTGGAGATATCGACTTCAGGTACGAGATTTCGTTGATAACCTTACGATATGCTGTTGCACTCGATGATATTGCTTGGGATTCAAAATCCATAAGCAATATGCCTATTCTAGAGGCATTCATCAAGAGAAACATGGATGTTGCCAGTTTAGTTTCAGAGATCCACGATACCACCCTCCGCTAAGCCATCCTCAAGGCATTCCGTCGTTTCAAAGTCTGTAATTCGACATGAGATTCAAAAGCCATCGGCAGCATGCATGTTTTAAAGGGAATGATCGAGAAAAAATGGCCTTAGAACGGGCTAGATTGGAAGAACGACGAGAGAGCTAGAGATTGCACATACCGGACCGTACGGATCACCGACCGACCGCACGACCCGCGACCGGTCCCGCCTCAAGCAACCAACCCCACACTACCCCGTGACCGGTGCAGGCCAAGCACCAAAGATCGGTCACACGAAGTTTCACCGACGATCCTTACCATCCATTCCACCCGTCCGATCCGTCAAGCCGACCGTCCTATCCGTCCGTCACCGTGATTTTGATCTTAATCGTGGTCAATTTGACTTCAAGATCAAATCTATCTTAAGTATGTTTTATTTATTTTGTTTTTGTTAAATTTATTGATGGTCTTAGGTTTTTCTCTCAAGGAATATGCGAATAGAGATTTATTTCATGGAAATTCGATTAACTTAGCCGAGTTAAATCGATGTCAAGCACAAGAAAGATCATATGGTTAGTTACCATCCACATCCACCGACCACCACCCCTATGTCGTTCAGGTGACATTGTTCTTAACCTATCTTTCTCACGGATTCATCTCTTTATTTATTTTCCCACCGAGGACGGTGTGATTTAAGTCTGGGGGGTTAATGAATCCGTCGTTACTAATGCTACTCTTTATTTTGTTGACTTGAGACCTTTTTCCAATTTTTACATCAGTAGGTTTTCGCAAAATTAAAAGTTTTTATTTTATCGAGTCAAAATAGTTGGGAATTATGACCTTGTTATATGATGATTTTGACCATTTTGCGTTGAGAATTTTTCTTAAGGAACACTTACAGGTTCACAAGAACAAACAAATTTGAACACTACCTCCGGACCGTCCCCCTGAATTTTCAACGCGTGGAGATCTTTGTTGATCGAAAGTCAACTCTACCTTATATTGGACGATTAACTTGATCTTAATTCTTTCTCTTGAAGAGGTTTCAGATCAGGGAAACGAGCATATACATTCAGGACTTCTTATCCCTTTTTACCACTCTCTGCTGATCCTGAATGGCCACTCACTTTTAGTGGTTTCCTACCCTTAAACCCTATCCTCTTTTCAGACCTAACACATTCTCTTTTCCTTTTCTCACTTTAGCAGCTATGTGCAAAAACGTCGGAGAGAAAGGAACGACACAGTTTCCCGCCACGAAGACGGAGATTCGGAACTTACCAAGAAAATGACGTTTTGGTCTCGAGCTTATGCTTTCTCTGGGATTCGATTTCAAAAGGTATTTATTTCTTGCTCATGAGACTTACATTCTTAAAGTACTGTTTCCCCTTTCATAAAAAAATAAATAATAATAAATAAAAAAGAAAAAGAAAGGAAAGGAAACAGTTACCGAAAGAAGTCTCATAGCATAGGAAATCCCAAGGAAAAGCATAGTTCATGGAGAGGAGATGGAGATATTCACAGAGATCCCCGCAGAAAAATCTAAGTCTGGGGGAATCTAAAAGAAAAGAAGTAAAGGAGAAAGATGGTGTTACAAGAAGAAGTGGTTGGAAACTGTGGACATCAAAACGATCCGTTCTCTCTTGCGGTTTTGCAACATATCCTGCATTCTCAAGAATTTACGGTAACCTTAAACACTTTAACTCCACCACCAAACACCAAAAAGCCCCTTTCATACCTAGCGCCGTCTACCCTGAATGATCCTTCCTAATGAGAAAGCTCACGCCAAATACTTAATGAATTTAAAGAGTTGATTGACGTGAATTCAGAGTTTCTGTAGGTTCGAAGCGGATGTACAAGGATGAGAAAGGTGTAGGACGATTATGCAGATGTTCTAACGTGAATCTTGTTTTCAAGTGGTCTGTAGATTATTCAAAATACGGTCACTGATAATAGGAGAGTTCCCGCGATTTTCAAACCTCTTCACCGGATTTAGTCTTTTGTTTGCTTGAGGACAAGCAAAGTCTAAGTCTGGGGGAGTTGATAACATGGGATTTTCGCCCATATTTGTTATTGTTTTCTTATGTTTTAGGGAGGATTTGGAGTGATTTCAGAGCTAAGAGGGAGTTATTCAAGTATTTATGGAGCCGAGAAGGTTTAAAGAGTTTTCGAGCTTTAAAGGCCAAAAGACGATCAAAACCCGTTTCAAGACAGTTTCTATCATCAGAAGTATGGCATCCGTTCGAGGTCTTACCTGTTACTAAATCAAGATATCTCGATGGCTATAGAAATATATAAGAGTCAAGATTCGCCTCGATGTAGAATCAGAGCTTTTAATCGAGCCGTTCAGAAGTTATGACCAGAAGAGTGAAGACATGTCCAAAGCAGCCATAAGCTGTGCAACCGTTCCAGAGCTTCCTGACCACCCCGGTCACTTGGGCTGAGCCCGGGCTGCCTCTCACTCACCACCCCGGTCACTAAAGCCTCTACCCTTTCCAGAGACGCGAGTTGCACTAAACCTAATCTACGGGAAAAGACGCTTTTACCCCTTGACCTAATCCTTAGTTCCCGGAACCTATAAATACATGTTGAGAGCCCTAACCCTAGGTGTGCCTGCACGTGTCTTCGAAGTGCCTCTCAAGTCTCCGCCAAGCTCGTCCCTGCCCCTATAGCCGTCGACCTTGAAGCTTTGAAGAATCACCAAATCTCTCTCTCTTTTCTCTTGTTTTCTCTAAGATCTATTAAGGTGAAGTCTTACCTCTTGTACTCTACATTCAAAGAAGTAATCTCTAAACCCTATTCAGTTCTTATTCGTTTCTTTCTTATGAGTTTATCAAACCTTACTTTGATGATCTCTTTAACCATGCTAGAGTAGTTTTCTAGTTGGGTTTAAAGGGTTAATCATGGGGGAATATGGCTGATCGTTTAGGTGGCAATATCTAGGGTTTTGTTTGATCGTTTACACTGTATTTAATGCATGTAGTTAGATTCATGTCCTAACTCGTGATCCGAAGTGTTTAAATTGCTCACAAGGTTGTTTAATACGCTAAACCTAGCTTACGAATGTGTATCGTGTTATAACAAGCACACACCACTTAGTTATTGGGCTTTATGGACTAGAATCGAACTTGATCTTATTGCTTTGATATGTGCGTCGTTGCCTGCGTTAGTTGAGTAACGGAGTATAAGGATTTTAGCCGACTAATTCTACAACATAGAGTTAGCCGAATCTTAGTGTTTTGTATATCCGAGACTTGGAAGTAAACAAACCTAATTCTAATATTACTTAGATAGCGATCATTGAACCCCCTGCGATACCCTTGATGCCCAACGTTTGTCTCTCATAGTTTTCTTACGTTATTTACTTGCTTTCTACTTTGCTTTCTTATTACTTTCTCATTTACTTTTACTTGCATTCGTGACACCACAACCAACTCCCCTTTATTGTTTTGTCCTAGCTTTATTTTGTCTTAATAAGCTTGTCCGAACTACTTCTCTCTTTGTGGATTCGATACCCTAAGTACTACGATTGACTGCTGTGCACTTGCAGCTTATTGATCCTGTTATTTGGGATTTTTAAAACCTGATATACGTGTCCCACACGACCGCAGGTCATGCTTTACCTCCACTAGCTCATTTTCAACACATTCTCTAATGAAATGATACGTTCTATGTATGCGTTTACTTATCCCATGAAACACCGGGTTCTTTGTCAAAGCTATAGCCGATTTTTTGTCAATTCTCAACAAGACCTTCTTACCTTCAGTGTTTAGTATTTCAATCAACAACTCTTTAAACCATATAGCTTGTTTTGCAGCTTCCGTGGCCGCCATGAATTCAGCTTCACAAGAAGACATAGCCACTGTTTCTTGTTTTTGAGAGCACCAAGTAATAGAACAGTCATCAAGAAAGAAAATGTGACCCGTTGTGCTTCTACCATCATCCAAGTCAACATTATGCGAGCTATCACTATAACCCAAATTTATCTTGTCTGTTCATTTGAACAAGAGTCCAAGAGAGGTGGTTCCACGTACGGACCTCAAGACTTGCTTCAATGCTGCTCCATGAGATTCCTTGGGCTCTTGCATATACATGCTCAAGACCCCAACAATATAAGAGAGATCCGGACGCGTGTGAATCAAGTAACGAAGACAACCAATACTTCTTCTGTAATCT